GCTACTTCTCAAAGATCGATCTTAGGTCAGGATATCATCAGCTGAAAGTGAGAGAGCAGGATATTGAGAAGACTGCATTCAGAACAAGATATGGACACTACGAGTTCTTGGTTATGTCATTCGGACTAACCAATGCTCCCGCAGCATTCATGGATTTGATGAATAGGGTTTGTAAACCATTCCTCGATAAATCCGTGATAGTGTTCATCGACGACATTCTCATTTACTCGAAAAGCCAGGAGGAGCATGGCAAGCATCTACGAGAAGTGTTGAGGTGTTAAAGAAGGAGAAGCTTTTTGCAAAGTTCTCCAAATGCGACTTTTGGATACGGGAAGTCCAATTCTTGGGTCATGTTGTTAACCAAGAAGGAATAATGGTTGACCCTGCCAAGATCGAAGCTGTAATGAAGTGGGAACGTCCGAAGAATCCCACGGAGATTCGAAGCTTTCTAGGATTAGCCGGATATTACCGACGATTTATCCAAGGCTTTTCTTCGATAGCTGCTCCATTAACAGCTTTGACCCATAAAGGAGCTACGTATACATGGAGTGAGAAACACGATGAGGCGTTCGAGAAGCTAAAGAAGAAGTTATGTGAAGCACCATACTTTCTCTACCCGATGGAGTCGAAGATTTCGCAGTTTATAGTGATGCATCTGGAGTCGGGTTAGGTTGTGTTCTGACCCAAAGAGAAAAGGTGATAGCATACGCATCTCGACAATTGAAAGAGCACGAAAAGAACTACCCCACTCATGATCTGGAGTTGGCAGCGGTAGTATTCGCCTTAAAGATATGGAGGCATTACCTCTACGGCACGAAGTGCAAGCTCTTCACTGATCATAAGAGTCTCCAGTATCTCTTTAATCAGAAGGAGTTGAACATGAGGCAACGACGCTGGCTAGAACTTCTCAAGGACTACGACTGTGAGATACTTTACCACCCAGGTAAAGCAAATATGTTGCTGATGCTCTCAGTCGGAAAGTCAATCTTGAAAGAAGAAGGCCAAGAGCGTTAAGAATTGAAGTCGTCTCGATGATTGTGGAAAGTATCAGGAAAGCTCAAGAAGAAGCCTTAGAAAAGAATGACCGAAAGGAAGAACGTTTGGGAAAAACGTTAGTGTTCGGTACGAACAGTCGAGGACTGAATGTATTCCAAGATCGAATTTGGGTACCTAAGACGGGAGGAATAAGAGATCTTCTAATGGAAGAAGCACACAAGACCATGTACTCGATTCATCCCGGTAGCACTAAAATGTATAAGGACCTAAAACCCTACTACTGGTGGCCGACGATGAAGCTCGATGTTGCGAAGTATGTGGCTGAGTGCGTAACATGTGCGAGGGTTAAGGCACAACATCAAAAACCGTATGGGAGTTTAGAACCCTTACCTGTACCCATGGGTAAATGGGAAGACATCACCATGGATTTTGTGACTAAACTGCCCAGAACGAAGAATGGTCACGACATGATTTGGGTAGTCGTGGATCGTTTCACCAAGAGTGCACACTTCATAGCGCCAACGAGAAGTGGTCTATGGATAAGCTCGCAAATGCTTACGTGAAGGAAATTGTAAGACTTCACGGTGTCCCTCTTACGATTGTGTCAGATCGTGATAGTCGTTTCACGTCAAGGTTTTGGAGGAGTCTACAAGAGGAGTTGGGTACAAAGTTGTGTTTGAGTACTGCTTACCATCCGCAAACTGATGGTCAGAGTGAAAGAACGATTCAGACGTTGGAAGATATGCTGAGAGCATGTACCCTCGAATTCCAAGGGAATTGGGACGAGCACTTACCTCTGGTAGAATTTTCCTACAACAATAGTTTTCACTCGAGCATCAAGATGGCTCCTTATCAAGCCTTGTATGGGCAGAAGTGTCGTACGCCGTCTTGTTGGCTTGAAGCCGGAGAGAAGCAGTTTATGGGCCCCGAGATAGTCCATGAGACTGCTGAGAAATTGAAGGTGATTAGGGAAAGAATGTTAGCAGCTCAGGATCGTCAGAAGAGCTATGCCGACAAGAAAAGACGACCGATAACCTTCGAAGTTGGGGATTCCGTTTTACTTAAAGTCTCACCGTGGAAGGGACTTATACGATTTGGGAAACGAGGAAAGTTGAGTCCAAGGTTTATTGGACCATTCAAAGTTCTTCAGAGGATTGGGAACCAAGCTTACAAGCTGGAATTGCCCGAAGAACTCAATGGTATTCATAACACCTTCCATGTGTGTTATTTGAGGAAATTCATGGGAGATGTTCCCGACATAATTCCAATCTCGGAATTAAGGATGGATGAGAATAAAAGGCTGATCGAAGAGCCTGAGGCAATTATTGACCGTAAGACTAAGAAGTTACGACGCAAGATGGTCGACTTGGTGCTAGTCCGATGGAAACATTCGAATGGGCCGAATCTCACTTGGGAAACAGAGGATGACATGATGAGTCGCTATCCACATCTGTTTGCTGATGCATGATTCCGGGACGGAATCATCCTAAGGGGGTGAGAATTGTAACGCCCGGGTTTTCAGGGCTAAGCATTTTTGTCAATGTAATAGTCTAGGTCAACTATTGTAACTCTTTTTGAAGTAATAAATATGAAATATTTGAGTATTATGTGAATTATGTGTGTTTATGTGTTTATTATTTAATTATAAATATATAATTAATAAAGAATAAAAATGAGCGTCAAAATTAAAGTGTGAGATAATCCCGATATCTCTACATAAAGTTGTAGAATATGTCTCAAGGTTTCCGTACATATAAAGAATGCCGAAATCCGAGCTATAACGAAGAAGTTATGGCCCGCCGAAGTTTTACGGCAAAACCGGCACGACACCGGGAGACGTAAATAGTGAATTTACGATAGAAGACTTTTTAGCCTTAGCAATCTAAACAAAAGTCGTAGAATATGTTAAACTAAGAACATCGATAAAAAGAACGCCCAAATCTGACTTCGTATGAAGAAGTTATGATTTTTCTAAGATTCGGCTTAGCAGTGCACGGCCTGAAACTCGAATTTTAGTTCGAGCGGTTTTTGGCTTACGCAACATAAATGAGAGTTGAAGATCTCATTAATAGGAAATCAACGGTAAAAAGACAGACAAAAACAGAGTCCGTATGTAGAAGTTATTAATTTTACGCAGACGTTTAACAGTATAATCTCCTTGTACTGTTAAATTTAAGATCGGTCGAGAATTAGCTGACGGTGTCAAAATGAAAGTTGTAGATCTTATTATTACCTACGCGTGGATATAAAGAACGTCAAAAACGGAGGTCGTATGTGAAAGTTACGGATTTTAGAAGTCGGAAGTGTGCTGTGCGAAAATGGGTGATGTGGCACAATCTTGGCCATTGCTTTCTCCCCAAGGCTTGCCACCAGATGGTGACATGTGGCACCAAGTTCAGCCACATTTCACCCTATAAATACCACCTCTCCCACCCTCATTTTCTTCACACCTTTCCCATTCTTTCTTCTCTTTACTCTCTCTCTCTCTCTAGAACCTCTCTCTAGCCCCGAAATCCCCGAAAAGCCTAGGGAACCTCCCTAGCACGAGGCGGAAGCCCCGGAGTGCTCGAAGGCTCTGGAAGAAGAGCTTTTCGGCTCGGGAACGCTGCTCCAAGCAAAGCCCGGTTTTCTATAAAACCCGCTGTAAGTGAGCTACGCCTACGCTATTTTTAATATAACTTTTATTTAATTATAGTAACGTTATTAGGAACTTATAATAAATACTTGGGCTATTATTATGGGTTATATAAGTATTTTTTTGACGCTTATATAATAATAATAATAATAGCTAGACTATTAATTAGTCTCGACGAATAATAAACTAAACTCTAGTGGTAATAATACTAGGTTTCGTCGAAGAAAAATTCTTTTTAAGAAGCGAAGCGCTGTCTGAGTTCGGAATCACCACCTTTTCCGGTGAGTGCATAGTTACTTTCAGCTTACACATAGATATGAAGTATTTTATATAAATTACGTGCTATGTGTGCATATTATCTGAATACTTGCTATCTACGTTAGATGAACGTTGTTATACATGTTTTCAATGATTTAAACTGTATATGTATTTTATATCTACGAAAATGTTGGGGTAAAACATGGGTAGATGTAATAGGTGATGTGTGATAAAATGATGAGAGGCCTCGATGTTGTTGTTGTTGATCCAGTCATCTAGCGGAGTATAGATGACGACCACGGACTCTTCTAGACAGTCCAGTGGAACACTAGCAGGCTCGCAACCTGTAGGTGTTGTGAACGATGTGTTCACCGGTGTACTCCATCCCCCACATGGTTGCCTATTAGGACATTTATTGCTGAGGAATCCCCTTAGCAGTAGTGTCCGTCCCGATGATGATCCTTAGGCTAGGTCCCTTATGATAGGTGTTTAGGGACGTAAAGTGAGGATAACGGGAACGGGTAATCGGGTTATTGTTGATTGATGAAATTAATAAACTTATTTATTGTGGGTTGAAAACCCTATGTGCTCACCAGGCTCCCAAGCCTGACCCACTCAGTTTTATGCATTACAGGTAGTGGCGCATGAGCATAGGTGTGATGTTTTGGACGAGGGATTACGGATATAGGCCTGTAGATATGAAATAATGTAGTAAGGCTTATATTGTACTGTTTATACTTTTGATCTGTACGAACATGACATCCCGAGTCTTTTAATGAAATACATTTCTATGGAAATGCTTTTGATAAATCTTTATCATATTATTGTTTTGGGACAAATTCCGCAACCCTTTTTATTAAAAAATAACTCTGATTTTGAAATAAAGTATAAACAAAACCGGTCTTTTCTGGCCGTGATTTTGGGGATGTCACAATATCCTAACGACCTGAAAAGGAAAAAGTTTAAAGAGGCGCAAGACTCAGCTAGGAAGGATGTCGAGCGAACATTTGGTGTACTTAAGAGACGTTGACAAGTACTAGCAGTCGGGGCAATATCATATGAAGTGAAAATGTTACAACATGTAATGTATGCATGTATCATATTGCATAATATGATTCTTGAAGACGAAGAAAGAGTGATATGTCGGTACAACGAAAATGAAGTTTTGCCAAATGTCGAAGGAATAGCCGTTGGTACACAAGAGTATAGGGCGAATAGAAGAGAAGTACAGAATCGTGACATCCATCACGCCCTTCGTGTTGATTTGGTGGAGTACATTTATAGGGCACATATTCAGCCACCGATAGAGTTTTCTCACGATGATTTGGTTGACGAATCAGACGAGGATTATGATATTTTCGTCGAGAGCAAAGATTCCGATGACGAGAGTGATGTTCGGGAGAATGATGAAGACGATGAGGTTGATGACGATGACGTTAATTTCGAGTGACGTATTTTGGTTTTTTTTTTTTTTTTTAAATTAAGATTCTATGTTGTGGTTTGTTTGATTTTTTTTTGTTTTGTTTTTTTTTTTTTTTTAATTTTCTACTTATTTAAATATTATGTTTAATTTAATTTTTATTTTAATTAATGAAATTCTTTTTATTTTTAATTAAATTTTATGTTTATTATTAATTTAAAATTTATAAATCTGAAAAAAGAATTAATTTTATTAAAAAAAAAAAAATAGTGAGGAAAACTTCCCACCCATTCCTTGGGTTTAGGTTATGAAAAGGAAAGTGAGGGAAAGGGTGGTGTGACTCACAAAAATGAGAGAAACTCCCCACTCATACCTTCCGGTCTTATGTATTACTTCAAGTTGTCAACAACCATTATAATTTTTTTTAAAAGGTAACAAATTTTTATATTTGTGTAGAACTTTTTTAAACTTTTTTACATGTATTCATTTTATACGACTTTCATAAACATATTATATTTTTTTTATAACTTTTTGACACATTTTATAACCTTTTTAATTTTTTAAGAACGTTTTTAAATTTTTTATAACAATTTTAAATTTTTTTACAACTTTACTATAACTTTTAAAAATATTATCGTATCAAAAAAGTTACAAATGGAAAATACGAGTACAAATATAAGAAAGCCATGAAATGGTAAGGTAGTTATTTTTAATCATCTTTTTCAAAAAAACAATGTAATTACATCTTTATCAAAAGTCAACCAATATGTAACTATTTTTAATCATCCTTTTCATTTCGAATATGTAACGAGTAATTACATTTTCAGTTCGAATATTAAAAGATGATTAAAAATGTAACAAATCTTTATCAAAAATCGTCACGGATTCTACTAATATGTACTTGGGTCTAATCACCTCTTCGCTCTTTTATTTTACGAAAAGGAGTAATTACATTTTCAGTCTTAACATTTTCTAGTGCTTCATTTTCTACACTACAAATCAATACATCATTCATAAAATCGTCACTTATTCTATTACACAAGTCGTTCTTCAACAACTTCATTGCAGAAAAACACCTTTCAACGGTTACGGTTGCGATGGGCAAAACAAAAGTTAGTTTTAATAATCTATAAACCAAAGGAAATGAGAGGTGCTTCCCAGTTTCCATGTAACATTCCAAATCAAGTATTACCTTGAAACCCTTGAAGAAATCTAAATTTAGCATATTAGTCCCTTTAAGTATGTTGGGCGTACTTATGAGTACGCTTAGCATACTACGCAAGGTTAATTGTGGAGGGATAGCATGTATGTTGGCCATACCATGAGTACGCTGGGGGTATATGTCGGATGACCAAACTCTAATTTTCGGACATGAGGCCTATTTAACCGTCCTTAAGTCCTTTGGAATGAACCCTAGAGAGCCTCCACAACCTTAGAACGACCTTCTACTCCAGAGAGAACTTGTGAGATCGTTTTTGAGCTTAGGAAGGGTGTTGGTGGCCATTTTTAGTGACATTCAAGAAGGATAAATTATCATGGAAGCTTGGAGTATCATTGAGCTTCAAGAATCTGCATCTAAATCACCTTGAGGAGCTTCTGGAGATATAAAGCTTGCACTTTTCCATCTTAATCACTAGATCTAGCTAGGGTTTTCTAGTACTGTCCCCATTGTTGATTTTGGATCTCCTCTTGTGAGTTGAGCAAATCCAGAGGATGGGAATGTTAGATCTGAGGTCCTTTTGTCCGTTTATAACATAAAAATGAAGTCTTGGTGGGTTTTTTTTTGACCTAATGCATGGGTTAATAACCTTAAAAAGGTCTTAATGGGGGGTGTTCGGAACATATGAGAGATGAAAAGGCATAAAGTTGCTAACTTTATGCCCTAGGTCGTCTTAATAAGCTTAGATCTGACTTTTGGATGTGAGGGAATCGAGTATTAAGCACTTAATGGAGAAAGTGCTTAATCTGTTAGTACGATGGGCGTAACCTAGCGTACATAGGCATAAGTCCCAGAGACTCAGTACGTTGCGCGTACCTGGGTGATACGCTAAGCGTGCACACCACAGATGGGCTTGGATCTGTTTTGGGCCTTTGGACTGTTGGGCCTTGATTAGTCATTGGTCCAGGTTGTATTTTGGGGATGGTGGGCCAGTTCATCTGTTTTGGGCCATGGATGTTATGATTGGGCCTTATTGGGCCATTAAGCCCATTAATGGTTTTTGGACATGGACTTTGGGCCCATTAACAAAGGAAGAATATTTGGGCCTTTGTGGAAGGACTTGGAGTTTGGGTTTTCCTTTGATTATGTGATGCCCTAACATTGGATAATATTATTATTTAGCACGAGAGGTTTCGGATAGATAGGAGGGCAGTTTCGGATTCTTCGGACAGAGGTGAGTCTTCTGACCATACCAATGGGTCTAAGGCACCAAGGCCGACCCACTTTATGTTAGGTTATTATGTATGTTATTACATACAAGACCCCCGGGGGGGGGGGGGGGAGCCCGTGGTAATTGGATATAAGACCCTGTGGGGTAGCCCATGACACAATGGTATAAGACCCTGGCGGAGCCCATGGTATCCTTACATGTTTATGTTTGTGTTATGTGTATATATTTCTATGATATATGATATGTTATGTGATTATATATGTTATTGCATGGAAGACCTCGGGGGGAGCCCGTGGCAATTGAATATAAGACCATGTGGGGTAGCCCATGACATTCCCAATTTAAGACCATATGGGGTAGATCATGACACAATTGTGTAAGACCCTGAGGGGGGGGGGGAGCCCATGCCATCCTTATAGGTTTACGTATGCATGACTTATGTGATATAGGTAGCTTTTATAGCTAACAGGATATGTGATATGTGTATTTTGTGTGTGGTATGATTTGGGGAACTCACTAAGCAATAGCTTATATGTTGTGGATTTATTGCAGGTACTTCAGATCCCAAGGGCAAGGGCAAGGCGTGATGGTGCTGCGTGCACTCCCTCTTAGGCGTTTTCACGGGACACTCTGATTTTTGGAATAAAATTTGTATTCGAATTATGTTTTGAAAACAATTATAACGAGATTTCTTAATGTTGGAACTGTGTTTGATTATTTTAAAATGGAAATTTTCTTTGTAAATATTGGGTCATTACATTCCACCAACAAATGAGAGAGGTCCGCAATTTCCTTCAAGTTGCAAAATTTATCATCATGGAGCAAATAGTGATAATATATATCAAGTTGCCCATTAAGATGTACCTTTTCTAAATCCTCAAAATCATTTTTGTACATCTTGCTTAACTTCAATAACTTTGCTTTATCAAAACTAGAAAATGAGTCACGAGGACTCGAATCTGCCATGTTCTCCATCAATTATGTGTCAAATTCACTAAATTAGTGCTCAAATTCTTGAATATGTATATCCAAAATTGTGTTAAAAATCACAACTTTAAACTAATGTTGATTAGTCATATTGGTCTTACGCTTTCGTGGGGTAACATAATATTCTAACATGTCCACAATTCCAATACTATGTTTTTTTTACAAAAAGTACATACCTTCTTCCAAATTTGTGGGAACACATCTTTTTAAAAAATCTAGCAATAATTTATCTGTCATTTTTACTAATGAAACCACTTTCAAAATATTTTTTTTAACATGCTTTGACAAGGTATTCGTGAGGCCTAGAATTTCCAACATCAAGTGTAAAAGAAACACGAAATTAAGTGTCTTGAAATATGAAAAAAATACCCTTTGCTTGATTACGGTTAGATAAAGTAGACCCCTAATCTTTGACATATGTAAGGACTGCAACAACTTCTGCAAACAAATTCAACAAACTCACAATTGTTCTATAATATGAACCCCATCTAGTATCTCCAGCTCGAACAAGAAATATCTCCTGATTCAACCATCTTCATGCCTCAGTTTCACCAATACCAATTTTGACGTCAACTTTTTCTTTTTGAATCTCTCGTATTATATCTTTTCTGTTACAATATCCACAAATGACAATTACCACCAAAGTTAGTTGTTCAAAGAATTCTCCGACATTATCATATTTCATTAAACTAATTTTTTGTTTGGCAATTGGTTGATTAGGCTTGACAACTAACAAGATTAGACCATTTATTGGACTTGTTTTTAATTAAATTACCATTAAGAAATAACCTAAATTTTTTTATGTCGGCCCAAATTATTTTCCGAAGTATCACTGCAACAGAAACGAATTTTTCGGAGAAACTTATAATACTGAAATTTTTTTAAGGGCATCCCGGGTTACCCCGAGATGTAAGGTGGATCTGCCTACGTACATATTAAATATAGCTTTATACAAAACTAGGTGAATGCTCGCGCATTGCACAGTTGAATAATTATGTAGTTTAATATATATATATATATATATATATATATATATATATATATATATATATATATATATAATGGTAAACTAAATAGTTGACATTCTTTTTAAGCATATTATTAATTGATAAGTTATGATTTTAAAGAAATAAGATGCTACCATAATGCAATTAACAAAATTATTATATTATATTTGACATGGTTTAATCTATTCTTAATAGGCTGTACATAAAGGTTGTATGCGATTAAATAATATGTATATATTTTGATTTACAAATAATTTATGTTAATAAATAATTTAAAATTATTATTAGTTTAAAATTGTTAATGTAATTTTTATGTACACATTCATATCTAATGTAATTTTTATTGTCTTCATCGACCGAAGATCGGACAACTTGGATTCTTTTCTAGAGTTTAGTGTCAGCTATAGTTAATCTCCAATCCATATTATCCTATAACACCTTTGAAATTGTACAAACTAAATGAGTAGAAGTTATAAAATGAAAGATATAAAGGGAATTTTTTTGGAAAGGGAACTTCCCTAACGAGGGTTTCCGGGACAGCTTTCGCGCACCGACTAATCCCCCGCTGCAAACATAAAGCTTTGCCTCATGCCCTGGAGTCACTGCAGGCGAACCTCCACAGCCACAAGGGCTGAGTGGTGCCAGG